ATATACATCTCATGTGATTATAAACTCTTTCAGTTGTTCAAATCTTTTTTCACATTTGTTCTAGCTATTATGGCCGAGAAGAAAACTTAAAAATAAAGGTGAATGCTCAATTTTGGCCGTCATTGTAATATAAATACCTAAGTTTTATTACTGGAACGATTTTTTGACTTAACTTTTTAATTGAGATACGATCTAAAAACATACATGTAGTTCAATGCTAAAAAAAATCAATCTTTACTTTGGATAAATCGTATTTATATTTTTAATAAGGATACCTACAGAAGAACGTTGTCAATATGAGTTGGCGATTAGCATTTCATTCTACCAAATTGGTTACATCATACCTATTTCCCGTGCGCGTCAAAGCATTCAGAGAAGCCATATTTGATGGTAATGTTGAAATTATTCGCGCATTAGCCGAAAAACGTCCACGTTTATTGTATCAAACAATTGATGCCGATGGGAATACAGCTCTAGGTAATAATTTTGTTTTATTCTTTTATTTGAGTAATTATTATACGCATGTTTATACTAAAATATTTTTTCTAGGTTTGGCAGTTTTACTTGGCGAAGTTGAGATTGTCAAAACATTGTTAGCTCTTGGATCCGATCCAAATCTGGCCAATGGATTTGATCATAATCATCCACTTGTAATTTTGGCAAAACTTCGTCAAGAAGAAAGTAGTACAACACATTTATTAGCTGACATTCTTCTGGAAGCGGGAAGCGATCCTAATCGTATTGTACATTACCAAGCAGACAATCTAAATCGTTTAGATGCCACACAAACACCATCGTTTTGCGAAACGCCATTTCTATGTGCAATAAGATATTCAAACGAAACTTTGGTGAAAAAATTATGCGATAAAGGAGTGGATGTCGATCAACCAAATGAAGACACAGGTATGACAGCATTAATGTTAGCAAGTACAATGGGATTCGATAGTATCGTTAATGTTCTTCTTGATGCTGGTGCACAGCCAAATCAAGTTGATTTTCAAGGCAATACCGCACTCCATCATGCAGCTGCTGGTTATGGTGAAAATATTGAATGTATCAAGAGTCTAATCGCTCGTGGTGCTGATGTCAATATTGCAAACGAAGAGGGCTCTACGCCGTTAATAGTTGCAAAAGAAAACTCTAATGATGCTTTAGTTAAACTACTAACATCAGCTTCAAGTATAGAGCCACAATCCAGTAAATTATCGTCCTCGCCCGTTTACGATAAGGTTGATTCAGCAACAGAACAGACTATTTTTTCATTTACATAGTTTAGTCAAGTAACAGTTGAACATACACAATAGTTGCTGCTACTTTCTATCAACACTAAATATTCTTTTTCATTAATAATTGATTGTTGTTCTTTATATGTAAATAACTGCTGAAGTACAAAAACAACCACAAAGATATTTTTTGTGAGTTTAGCAATATATTGTTTTCAAAATACACAACATTAAACACCTCGAATATTTATACGCTTCAATAAATATCATCAAATATTCATCTTGAAAAAATCATTGAATAATATTTTATTACATGTTTATGACTGTAATTCATCATTAAATATGAGATAATTAGAAAATACCAATAATTGCTTGTTTGTTATTTTCGTTTTCTATTCCGGTTCATTAATGATGCAATATTTGAAAATGTTTCAGAACTTTTATAGAAGAACTAGATACAAACATAAAGTTTCTCTGATGAGTGCAACCAGTGGTGAATTTACGACGGATACAATAACACGCACCAGAATTTTGAATTTAAGAGTGTTTCTTCTTGTTTAAAAATGAGTTAACCTGTTTTTTCTAACAATTTGAACTTGAGTGATATCGAATGTATTTTATCGTCTTAATGTATGCCGTAAACGGTAAAAAGATGTTGTATTGAACGAAAATAAATCATCATACAGAAAAATCGTACACAAATATAAAAAAAACCGATGTTCACCGAAAACAAAAAAAAAGAATTTTACCACAGTCATGGCCTTAATTTCGCATTTACATACAAGAATAAAGATAATGTATGATAACACGAAGAATCTAAACTGTCTAACAACTCATCTAGGTGTCTACTTATTTTTAGAGGACCGCGACACACATAAAAAGGAAATATAACACGTTTGCTTGAAAGACTGGTCAGACAGCAAAATGTCAGTTAAACACACGTAACACAATTATGGGTTTGATTCTTTAGATATATACAAAAAAATACAAAAAAAATAAAATAAAATAAAATAAAATATAGAAACGAACTAACAAACACGCATACACCATGATTCGCGCACTTCATCTATGTACAGTTATCAAAATAAAAAAAGAAAATGATTGTTTTTTAAAATAACACGTAACAATTAAAAATCTTTTAGACGTAAAAAGAAGACTTGTTTTTACTAATAGAAAATCTTTCGATTTCGATCGAAAATTTGAAGTGAAAAATAGTTTACCAATCGAAAAGAATATGCGCTAAGATATTTTCAATTTGAACTCAGCATATTATATACAAAAGTGTAAATAAAAAACAAAAATGTGTATACACAACAAATCATTAACACCGGACTCACTCATTTCATGGCTCTATTTGGTTCACCGGTTTATTTTCATACTGTTACAGTTTATCAATATTCATTTTCAATAGACTTTCTACCAGTTTTCAGAAATAACTGCAAATATACACAATAAGTCATTTTTTTGTATTTTTTAACTATGATTATTTCGTTTAGACGTAAAGACAGATTCCACATCTTTTATAATCAAATGAACGAAACCATCGGTATTTCCAGCAACAGGCATATCTAATAAAATATAGAAAAGTTGTTGTTTTTTGTTACCACATATTGGTTTGAAGACTATGTTACTTACGATATTTTGTTGTCAAAAGTTGATCGAGTATTGATTCCAATTGAAGATTTGATGAGGGTGATGACAACTGATCATCTTTCAAATATTTTAAAATAATTAATTTCATCGATGATATAACGTCAATCAATGCTTCTAGAAGAAAAAAATTTAAAAATGTTTTATTAAATTTTAGTGAGTAAAAAAAACCCTTTTCCGTTCAATCGAAAGCAAAATTCAATATATTTTTCAAAAAACAAAAAGAATTTGTCTCTAAAAGACCAGTCATTTATCTCATTCTTATTATCTACGTAGTGAGTTTCTGGTTAGAATTAATGTACAAATTCCGTACAGATACAGAAAAAAACTCTTTATTAAAATGTAACAAATTGTCAACCTTAGCTTCAGGAATCTTTTTTTGTCGATTGATGTGTAATTTCATAGATGAATATTTTTTTAATTCTAATCGGTATGATAGTCACCTTTTCCGTTAATTAATTTCAGATAGAAAGTCTATGAAAAATCTAATCAATTTAACAATGTCAAGACGATATAGAAGGCACTGTCACTATTATTAAGCTTTCTTCAAATTTTTCACTAGTACATTTTTTTATTTATCCAGAAAACTTAATTTATATAGTTATGTTTACTGACATTAGTCATCTATATCATACTGATTCAAAAAGTTTCTTAAGATAACTTTTTTTCCGAATATGTCTAAGAGTTTCAGATAGAAAATTGACTTTAATGCTGATCGAAATCAGCTCCTTACAAGTAGCAAAAGAACAACACATGAGAAAAGAAGTGGTAAAGAGATGTTCTGACATCTTTTTCTCATTTTCATTCAAATGTAAAACGCTAGACTTGGTTCTAAAGTCTAATCTTGACCGGACAGCACACGTTCATTATGTGTTAAGTAAAGTGAATCGTTTAACTGGTCTTTTAAAGCTCCATAAACATGCGTTGTCCAGACAGTCATTAGACTTAGTCTATAAGTCTTTTGTTTTAAATTTGTTTACTTATGCGTCAGCCATATATGGAAATACGACAGACAAAAATCTTGACAAACTAGAATCAGCTCAGTATAAGGCAGCTCGTGCGGTGTCAGGTGCAATGATGTACACTTCTAAGGAGAGAGTTCTTAGAGATTTAAATTGGGAACCCGTGCGAGAAGTTTTTAAGCGACACAGACTAGTTCTGTTTCAAAAAATAATAACTGAAAAAACATTCATTCTTTTATGAAGACACTATTGCCTTCACGCCCAGATCCACCTACCGCTTTTTCTTACTCACTTCGAAGTCGTGAAAAAATGCTTCTTCCTTCTCCACGCTGCCGCTTGAATATGTTATATGACTCGATGATTTATCGTACTGCTAGGGATTATAATGAGCTACCACTGGAGATACGGTTGACGTTTCGCATAAAAAAATTTATGACTCGCATATTATCACCACCGAAAATACCGAAGATACTTTTTATTTATAACACAGATGCAGATATTAGCTTTTGCAGATGCAGAGTCGATTTCTCACAGCTGCGGAAAGACTTGTATCTTCTTAAGTTTGTTTCTGATCCCTTCTGCTCGTGTGACAACGTGACAGAAGAGAGCCTTTCTCACTATTTCTTGGAGTGTCCTTTGTGCGATACTGCAAGATTAGCTCTACGTTCTGTATTTCAATCGGATTTAACTCATCTTTCTTTTGATTTAAAAACTTTATTTCTGGAAATTTCTCTAACACCTCAAGAAATCAAGATTATTGTCAAAACTGTTACCGATATATCATTCAATCAGCTCGTTTTTGCTGTGAATGACTGATAAAACATTTCTTTCTTACTGATCACTGCTGCAGTCTAGAGCACAACATATATGTATTTGTCTTAGTTCTTCGTTAGATTGTTTAGTTGACTCTGCACTATAGACCTTGGTCTGCTCGCTAAGTCAAGTTTGTTGTATCTTTTCTTAATAAACAGGGTTATGAATAAGGTTAAAAAACAAACTGTTTAAGAGGCCACTTACTATGTTCTTCATTTAGTCCATGCAATTTTAATTTGTTTGCTTCATGTTGTGCTTTTTTCCGTAAACGGCATGCTCTTTAAAAGAAAAAATAAGAAAATAAACATGTAATATAGTAGTTAAAAATATTGAGATTACCTGCTGGCTATTTTGTTTTTTTCTTTTTTAACTTCCAGTGAATCATTTGGTTGTGCTGTAATAGCACTTGTATCAATCATGCTATTATCAAGCAAATATAAACCATTTAAACAAGATGATGTTGTAACGCCACCACCAGAAAGATCTTGTATTTGTTTACCAAGTTGGTATAATTTCACTGGGTTTGGCGTCACATCATTTCCATCACCTTTTCGTAATTTATTCAATGTATTTCCTATTTAAATAAATTTTTTCAAATAAAAACTGTTCAATTTTAATATAATCATATCATATATATATACCTTTCGTTTGTGCTAATTTTATTTGATAAACAGGATCTGAAAACTCACGATACAAATGTGGATCACGTTCTTTCAAATATAGTACCCGTTTTGTCTTGGGTCCTTTAGCTTGTACATTATACTGCCAAAATGACGACGATTGATTTCCATTCGATGTTTCTAATCCAGTTGTTGAAGAACTAGTATTCATCGCTACTGGTGAAGTTGCTTCTACTTTATTTGTCTCTGTCATGCAAAAGTTATTTGAATTATCAATATGTTCAGGATCATTATCTTCGCCATCTTCGTCACGTACTAAAAAGAAAATATTAATAAAAAAAAAATTCCATATATTTGTTAACATACACCTACAATAATCATTTTCCATATCCGACCATAAATCTGATTCACTCTGAAGATCATTTATACATGGTGGACTTGAAGAATCGTCTGAAATAATAATTATACTAACAGAATTAGTATTCTTTTTTTGCCTTGATGAAAGATCAAATAGTAATAAGCCAATTACTTCTCACTTTTGTGAAGAAAAAATTAATTATTTACAAACCTTTTATTTCATCTTGTCCTTTGCTTGTAAAAGTTGAAAATGATAATGATGGTCGTTCTTTTCGTTCAATATTATTTAAAGTTGGTATTATAGTACTATTTGTTGTGTTTGTTGTGAGATTATTATTTAATGAATATAATGTACAATTTGTTTGATGAAAATTTATTATTTCTGGTAGATTGTTTGTTTTTGAAATTGATGAACGTGAATGACGACGTATGGGAGATTTTAGGGTTGTAGCATGTGGACTAAAATTTTTCATAAATGATTGTGTGGAAGAGAATCCACCATATGATGATGACAGATTTGTATTCTGTTGCTGTTGTTGTGGTTGTACTCCAGAAAACGAATTTGATACCGCTCGTAAAGGAAATGACCAGTGGTTGTTGTTATTGTTGTTGTTGTTATTATTGCTGTTGTTGTTATTGTTGGTCACGTTGGATTCGTTGCTAATTGAGGACGACGAACCATTTGTTGTTGATGTTCTACTTAAATAGGATAATGGTGATACAGAAATATAAGATGTAGGCGATTTTATCTGTTGTTGTTGGTGTTGTTCATCCAGTGCACTTTGATTTTCAATTTTTAAATCAGTACATTGAATTGTATCAAACAAACCGCATTGATCTAAAAAAAATGGATATTTAAACTCATATTCTTCCATTTGTTCGTTTAACTACCTTTTTTCAAAATTTCATAATATCATCGACTGAATAAAGATTAGAAACTCGATTCAATAGACCATACTACCACATTTTTACTTTACTTTATTATCTAACGATAGAGTAAAAGTGATCCACACTAGCAACTGCGAATGGCGAGCATAAAAAAATGATTTGGTGAAATTAAAATGATCTCAACTCTTTTCATATTGCTTATATTCTAGAAATATCGTACCTGGAGTTGTTGCATTATCATTTGACTTCTTTTCGAGCAGCGGTAATGTGTTGAATGTCTTAGATGTTCCGCCTTCATTCATACTTGCTGAACGAAATCGATGACTTTGATTATCTTCTGGCATGAATTCTTGTTGTACTTCAAATGGGTACGATGTACCTAATAATTGTTGAGTTTGAGACTTTGTCAATGATGAGTATTGATATTGGGATGGTTTATAAAAACTTTTTGCTGTCTTTCTTAGAATGCGTTGTTGTTGTTGTTGTTGTTGCGATGATTTATCAGGAAAAGTACAATTTAAACTTAAATCGATAAATTTTGGACTTATTCCAAGTGATGAAGACGGATGTGATGGTGTACTGTTACTATTCGACAAATTATTTAGCGTTATTATACAGTTTGAATTTACTGTTGGATGTATAACATCAACAGGTTGAGTGTTCGATAATTGTAAAAATGATGATGATGTAGAGGATGGCGGAGAGAGTATTGGTGGACAAATAGAAAATAGATGCAATGATTGAGAAGGAGAATTTGTTTCGGCATCTGTAACTGATCGATGTTGTGAACATCCTTCAATATAAGATGGTATATGCTGCTTATTAAATTGTAGTTGTGGTTCGAAATAGTCATTAAATGTATCGAGATCAAAATCCTGATCAGTTGACGTCGGTGACATTACATTTGTTAATGATGATGGCGATGGACTTATCAAAAGAACATCGTCATGTTTCATAATATCATCAATTTCATCACAAAAATTTTTCGTCAAGGAAGATGGATATTGTATAGTATTAGAGGATATTTGTTGCTGTTGTTGCTGTTGCTGTTGAAGAGAAGCAAAATGAGAAGTATCTCCCGCGTGGATACTTGAATTTGGTGATGTTGTGTAATTGCTTGATGTTAATGGTGAACGATGTTCCCATCGTGGATGGAGAACGCCTAAAGAGAAAAAAAATATTTTTAGTTGTATATATCTTTCTTTTATCACATTTCAAAGAATGAATCGGTTAATGCAACTCTCCAAACTGACCTGAATCAAATGGACGTATTTGAGACGATTGATTAAAACATCCATCAGATGAATTAAATTGTGTTTGTTGAATCATATTCTAAAAATAAAATTCAATATTCTTATCTTATTTGGTCGATTATCTGAGACTAATGGAAACAAAAAATGATAATCATAGAAAAAGAGATTTAATAATTAAATAAATATTAATGGTAAAAATTTCATATTGTATAGAAAAAAATATCTTCTCTTAATAACTTTTTATAACAACAAACAAGAAACAAATTGTCCTATTATAATAATTAACTTGTCATATATGTATTATTATTCTATTTCTTTTTTAATACGCCTACATTAGTCTCTTCATTCACCGTTCTCATTAGAATATGTTGAAGATGACATTATTGACGTCATGGTTCAAAAGAGCTTATTTGCCGTGAGGTTTTTTTTCTTATTGTTGAAATAATGCCAATAGAATAAAGACAAAAAAAAAACATAAAAAATAAAACATGAGTAGATGAAGAATCTATGAGGACACTCTTTTCTTTTCTCATACTTATTAAGACTATTATTAGACGATTATCATATAGTTACAATTTAATTAGATCCGCAAAACAAAAATCACACAACATTATCATGTAGATGGTGACTATATTCATTCTATCATCTGATCAATTAAAAATTTTTTTTAGATATTTAGTTCTAATACTTTTTATTAAATGATCCATCTTATGAATTCTATGAGATGAACTTTGAAATGGATGGGGGTAGGATAAAAAAGTTTTTACTATTTTTGTTTCCTGTTACTTTTTGTTATTACGAAATGTTGAGTACTTCAGAACGAAGAAAAACAAAAGTATCACCTGTTCAGTAAAAAAAACTCAAGCAGTGAATGAAAAAAAATGAATTAAAAAGAAAAGAAAACAAAAAATAAACCCTTATGATGACATTCAAACGAAAACAATAACAAAAGAGTCCGTTTTCTATTTTGTCAAACAGAATAAAACTTATGTTTTTATTGATTTGAACATATCGAAAGGATCAAACTTTACATCTGACTGACCAAGCATGAATAAACTAAAGTAAAGAGAACATTAAGAGTATTTATTATTTTTAAGACAAATAAAAGAGAAAAAAATGTGGATTTTTAAAGGAATTAACAAAATGTTTTGTTCATGACTCATGTATAAACAACTGCTCAACGTTTTTATTCTACCTATCGAATAGTATTACGATATGTTCACTTTATTATTGTAGAAGACGGCTATATTATAGTCAAATCTTCTTGTTGTTTTTTTTTATATTTCTACTATTTTTTTGTGTACTAATGTGCTTACGATTTGTTGCATCATTTATTTGGTTTGTATTAAGAAAAAAAATAAAAAAACAAAAACACTAAAGAAGAAGGTACATATAATAGAGATATATACATACAAGGAAGAGAAAATGATCTATCTATATATTAATACAAAAACAAGAAGTGGATAATATAATGCTCGAATATTCCCAAACAGTTTACATTTTTTTTTTGTGTTCTCTACTAGAAGACGCATGGATGAATGTAAAAGAATTTGTTTGTCTTTGTATATGTTCACATATTTCTATATGTCATTCAAAAAGATGCACCCATCGCCATTCTGCACAGTATACGCACAGTATCATACGGTATTCGAATATTTTTATGATGATAATGACTACATATCACAAAACAATCGTCATAGGGTCAAATAAAACAAAAGTATAGAGGTGTGTGTGCTTTAGTCATTTTATGCTCACTAAAACCACAAACTCTGGATTTAAGAAAACTAAATATACTCATTACTTAGTATGTTAAAAGTCAAATATTACACTATTCAGTAAACTTTATTCAAAATTCTATTCAAATTGAGCTAATAACTACATATGTAGCATAAAGAGTAAATTTATTCAAAAATAAGATGATAGTGAAAATTTTCTAAACAATAATGAATCTAGTCTAAAAATTATCTTTTCATTCATACCTGATAAAATTTTTGTAATTCAAAATAGTTTCCAGATAGATTAATAGGATTAAATAAAATTTGTACAACATTAATTACGAGCGATATACTATGATCTTTTTTACAAAGAATTAGTTTCTGTATGCAAAGCAAAGACATTCTATAGAAGATGATTCTATACAAAAAAATTTGTAAAGAAAATAATAAATATTTATATTTTTTTAAATACACAGCTGATATTTTTTTATTCATTCATTCTTTCATTCATTCATTCGTTAACAACTAATGTGATCAATGAGATTGACTCAAAGGATTAATAGAAAATAGATGAGTCTATTGTTTAGTTTAATATGTAAAAAATATCGCAAAAGAATTGAAGCATATCACTATTAGTAGTTAATTCATGTACGATTATTAAGAGGTGGACAAGTCCGATCATTTTCAAAATCGAGTCCAAGTTCTTAATAGTAGTTTCTGCACTCTACAGCATGTCATAATTATATAGAATGAGCAACGATACATTAATACATCTTTGACAAAAAAAGATTAATCATTTAGGTATCAAATTATACTCATTCCATTGTTAAATGTAAAAGATTTTAACTCTTTAGACTTCGAACGGACTTGATAAAAAGAATCTACAAATTCAAATTGGTCACAAAAAACTTCAAATTTGAACTTGTTCATCTCTACGCTTACTTAAGAAATAACAGATGTGGCTTCAAACAATTTTTCTTTCGATACTAAATACCTTTTTAGCATTACTATAATAGACAAATTACCACCTGTGCAAAGTCAACGTTCTCAAAACTGAAAATGTTACATTTATATTTGCTTAAGAAACAACCTTGATAAGGAAGAAGTCAAGAATATATATACAAGAAGACAAGTGAAACAATACCAGTTCAAAAAAAATAATAATAATAATAATTAGGAAACTTTTAATTTTGTAAGAATGAAAACAAGCACAGAAAAAAGTTAACTTTTATTTAACTACGTGATATTTCTTGCTATTATTTTCTTACATGATCACATAATTTTTGAATGTAAAAAATTATAGTCATTAATCACTTCTACTACAAATGGTCGTTTCAAATAATTAAAGAAGTGAATGTACTTCGCTAAAAGTGCACTATACTATACAAAAGAAAAAGAGAAGTATCTTTATTTTACAGATTCTAAACTTTAAATTAGAACGAAATAATTCTTTTTGTTTCCTATCATACTTTTAACTAAAACTAATTGGCATCATCTATTTTGTGTCCATACTTAGCAATATCTACCGAAGACAAATATGTTGCTTTTTTATCATTGTAAAAAACGTTTGTTTGTAAGTATACATTGTGTGACAAAAAAAGTCCTAAAACTATTTTAAAAAAATAGATAGAGTGAAAAAGTGAACTTGTGTTACTCAAAATTTTATTTAAAATAAATAAATAAAATACAATGTGATAAAAATATTCGTTTAAGGAATAGATGGAGTTGGACAAAGATTAAATTGGCTTCATCGAACTTCTACTAGAAGATTTTGGCGTTTTGCCAATAATACTGAATCTTTATTTTTGCCAAAATGACCTATTTTTTCTTTTTAATTGCTCTTTAAGAAATGAGACATTGAAAATGCCTATGAAGCAAAGTGTTAGTTTATCTTTTAAAATGTTCGAATCGTAAGGCCATCTAATTTCAATCACTTAGGACAACTCTTATTATTGAGACTTCTAAAAATAGATCTTTTAATTACACAAAGGATTTCGTTAGTCTTTTCACTCGCGTGACTAGGATAACAAACGTTTAAATCATTCTATTTAATACAATAAACTAATAAAAAGTTTCTCTAATATACTACTTGACCAAGATGAAATTGAAACGAACATATATGATAAAGACTTGATATCAGGAATGTTCGCAAGATATAGAAGATCAAAGTAGTAGGAATCAGTCCCGTACAAAATGGGTTATGGAAGACGAACGGTAAAGTATAATAATTCTCTTTAGTAGCGCAAACCAGTCTTAAAGTAAATACTACATGTAAAAAGTATTCTGCATAAAACATACATACTTACTCAAGTAATACGGATAATATATACTATTTTTCCAATTTGGCGAACAGCCAAAAAATACGAGAGGAAGTTATAACAAAAAAGAGATTGTAATACAATAAGATATGAAGAGAAAAATTTACAAATATAAAAACAGCACATGACTCAATGGAAACGTGATTGGTTGTTTCTACTTTTCTGTAGATGGAAGCACTGTGTTTCATTGTACGCTTATGTTTTTACAACAAGACTGATGTGCTTGACAGCCCCCTTTATCCGTCCTCTTCCATTTATGATAGAAGAAGAAAATGTTCAAAAACTTAACTTTATTACTAGTTTAGAGTTCTTCAGCTTTATTAATGGCTACTTTTTTCCTGACATACACTGTCAGAAAAGTGAAGTGACTGAATGGCTAAATAAGACGGTTCAAATGACTGATTCAGTCGTTTTAGCAAAGATTTTTGTGGATGAAACGACTGACTCAGTCACATTAGGGAAAATACGGTA